TGACAGTGTAATAATAAGAGACAAGCTTGTCTCTTATTATTACACTGTCAGGCCAGATGATGTAGAAGTACTCAAATCGCGTTGAAACTTCGTAAAAACAAAGACAACGACTCCAGGTAACAATATTTACACTTTATTGATAACTTTTATCGCTTTCACTTCATTTATTTCATCTAAGTTTCAAACTCTAGTTTTCCCGTACAAACTCTCATATTACGCTTGGGTCACCTGTGAAGGGATCATATTTTGTCTAACGTTATCGTTTTTCTTTTCCCCATTTTTACGAGCTTGGTAAAGGAAAAAATTGCTGAGTATGCGAACAAGGCGTGTTGCTTCTTTTGCGTCAGATAAGAGAAAGCGCGAGATCCAAAGTTTGTAAAAATAAAAACTGACTTGTTTTAATATTAATGTATTCATAAAGACTAAGAACAAATGTTAAACTGCTTTCACGTCCAGAGAGATACTGTCCTCTCATTTAACCAGGTTTGGAAAGGTATTCTCGGGATCCGGAATAGCGCGAGATTAGGAAAAAAGGCAAAATTTCTCGACAGTATACGGGATTTGACTGCTAATTGGGAAGCAGGATCCGGGATTTGACTGAAATATAGAGAGGGATTCGAGAAAACGCAAAATTTCTTGACGGGATACGGGATATCGCTGCTACCCGGGAAGCGGAATCCGGGATTTGACTGAAATATAGCGCGAGATTCGGGAAAATGCAATATATTTTGATGGGATACGGGATTTGACTGCTACTCGGAAAGCGGAATCCGCGATTTGACTGAAATATAGCGCGAGATTCGGGAAAATGCGAAATATTTTGATGGGATACGGGATTTGACTGCTACTCGGAAAGCGGGGTCCTGGATTTGACTCTGATATAGCGCAGGGTTCGGGAAAATGCAAAATTTCTAAACGGGATACGGGATTTGACCACTACTTGGGAAGCGGGAATAGAGATGACTGAATTTCGGGACGCGATGCAGTATCAAGACTACCCTTCCAGATCCTGTTGACCTGGTAAACAGATTCTGTTGAAATTCCATGCAATGGAATAAATTAATTAGTTGTTCTCTTAATTAGCTCGTCAACCTCGGCTGATCTGAGACATTTCCACATAGAATTGTCCAACTCATGACATATTCCCTTCCAATTGAAATGTGTCGGTGGGTCACTATCTTGGTTTCCCTTCCTGTACTCAAAATAAGGGCTCAATTCGATGGCAAGGCTGGACTTGATGAGCGCAACACCACCAACTTTCTCAGGACCTGGATGATAAATTCTCCCACTCTCTGGTAGCATACAGATCTTTTCTGGTTGAAATGGAAATGTTAAATTATCGCCAATACCACTGTAAGTTAACAATCCTGGAGACTGGTTAGCACTGACATCAGAATCTTCGATGATTGTTGCAAAAACAACTGGTAAATCATCACAGCGAATGTAGTTCATTTCCTTGCCACACGGGGAAACAAATGGGAAATCCTCTGTGTATCTTGTTGTCTGGTTTTGTTTTAATCTCTTGAAGAAAAACTTGAGAAACTGTTTGTCTAAAAATTCAAAGAAATGGTGAACTCAGTTATAATTATCAGTTTTAAAATAATATAAGGCTGTGGAAAATACATGAGATATGTTGCTAATAATTTTATGATAGACAGCATTAAAGACAAAACTAGACCTCCTGTTAAGTTCATCTGTGAGCTGGTGCTGAAATTCTTGTTCTTTGCCCTAGCCGTGTACCAGGATTTGATTCCACACCACGGCTGGCTTGATAAAAAAAGCCATGGTTCAATTGGCTAATCCAGTGCCAGATCCAGACATTGAAATAAGCAGGGGGCCCGGTCATCCAGACCCTAAGATAAGGGGGGGAGGGGGGGCCTGTCTCCCAAAAGAATTTTTTTGCCCCTTTGGGCCTCAGTTTGGTCCAAAAATAAGGGGGGGGTGGGCCTCTCCCCTGGATCCGCCACTGAAATCAGGTTGAAGGGGAAATTCAAAAAGCACAGCTGGTAATTCATTGAATCCATTAGGGACCCAAAACAAGGATCTTGGTACTGCTTTGCAGACATGGTAACCAGGGGTAGGTTACATCTGCAACATGGACTACTTTTATGCATACAAACTGACTTGTACATGTACCTTTAAAGCAGGTAATAAAGTTCTTTACTTTGGTGTCATCAAGGAATAACTGAAAGATATGTAGAAAAAAAAAATGATCAACTTTATCATTGGATATTATACATATTATACCTTCAAGCTTCAAATACTTCAGCATATTATTTAGTAATGATCAAACTTTATTAATACTGACTCCAAAGTGGCAAAGCCATATGGACATCTACATAGATTCCCATATTAATTACAGAGGTAGGGGTTTTTAGGTAAGGATTGTATGAAGTTGTTGAATTTGGACATCTTTGGAAAATTAAATGAAATGTCTGTGAATGAGAGGTGTTGCTGCATTGTAGAGGAGTCCAGAACATGCCATTCTTAATCTCTTCAAGCACTGTTTTCAGTAATAAGCCAGTAATTTCAGTAATTAGCCTGCATCGCAGATGTAATCTAATGCCAGTTGGTAACGTCTATAAAGCAACGCCAATATCCTAGTTCTGGGCCATAAGCAGACTCAAGGAATTACTGGAAATGCATTTCAAATTTCTCTTAAATCTGATTGCAATTCCACAATGGCTTTTGTAATGAGCCAATCATGGTGCATAAACAAACACTGGTAAACAGGTGAGGGCCCAGAACAAGGATTTCAGTGCTTTTTTGCAGAAGGACTTTGTAGATATTTAGTTCTGTCTGTGACGCAGGCTAAGGCTGTTTGAAGTTGAATCTGATTCAATGTCAGTACTGTTAAAAATCACAGATCAGAACCTAATTTTAAGAACCTGTCATCAGTTGAGGTCTGACAGAAATTCATAACAGGGGCGGATCTAGGGGGAGGGTGCAGGGGGTGCGCAACCCCCCTCCTCCTGAGATGACCTGCCATTTTCTAATACAACTGGTATTCTGCCCCCCCAAAAAAACTATGTGGTTTATTGGTGTTGAAGTAGAGCAAGAGACGAGTGCACCCCCTCCTAAAAAAAATCCTGGATCCGCCCCTGCATAAGAGGTTGTTTCTGACAAATGGTAAGTGCCCGTAGCCTAGTGACAGCTCTAGCCATATGTCACAACACCTTTACTGACTTTATTCACATGGGATGCAAAAGAACGACTCTGGATACACATCATCAACCCAAGTGTCCATCTGTGACGGACTGAGGGGTTTGGTAGGGGCGGCCCTTCCCGCTAGTACCCATTCCCCCCCTCCACCAGCTGGGTTAGGTCAAGGGGGTAAAACGTTAAGCTGGGAAAACACAACTGACACACAACAAAAACTGTGATCATGAGTGGTTATTACCTGTCCTTGGTGATCAATGTAATAAAAGTACTCTCGAACTTTTGGAGATGGTGACTGTCCCTGGACATAAGAAACGGCCGCGGGGGAAACCAGACGTTGCATAACATGACGTGACGGCATAACCCGTCGACCCGTTTCACGACAACTGTGTGTAAATAGAGCTAACATGGGGATAAAGGCACTTCTACCAGTTACTTTTAACTTGAAGAATTCCTTCTTTGCTAAAAATGATGCTTACAACGTCGTGATAAATGGGAGTAACGCTCTTAACTTCACTCAACCCTTGTCTCTTGTGTTTTGGTTGCGTAACGTGACCGCAATGTACTGTGGGTTAGTTTTACGCATGCTCTTTACACGGGATTCGCTGAATTGCTAATCAGAAGCGGGCGCGAATTTTGCCCAGTGTAGAATTGTCAAGCTACCTTTAGCCGTGTTACAAATACTCCACTGTTTGTTTTTCTTAAAAAATAACACCTTAAACTGGCGTTTTATTCAAATTAACATGTGATAGTGTCGCCTGGAAGCTATGGTCTTGGAAATAACTGCCTGGAAGCTGTAAGCGAAGTTTGAAGAAAATGGCGGCACAACATAAACGATCATGGAAGCTTCGTAAGTAGACGTTATTACCGGTGTAAATTTCCACAGTTGTCTACACTGTTATACGGTCCCATGTAGAAGCCTGCATTATTTAACACAGTTGTACATCTAGTATATAAATTCATTAAGCAAACTTAACTGAGATAAATAAGTGTGGGCGCTGAAATCATGTCGCGACCATGTGTCCCCTAAATTATCCACTGTGTGTGAGACATAGACAGCTTGTAAGCTTAGATTAAGAAAATAAACTTAGAAGAACTTGATAGTTATCAGGGTAGATAGGTTATCATCTCTAGTATTTTTAAAACTATGATGTGGTACTATTTTGTGAGCTGAAGGTTAACTTTGATTTACAACCGGCTATCTTTCCTACCTTAATGAATTTTAACGTTGTTATGGCTCTAAAGACTAGAAGTAGTAATATGCCTGCGACATAATGCTTTTTGCCTAAATGGATTATTTAACGCCTTGTTTGCTTGGTGATATCTGTCTTAATTAGCAACCGGAAACAATTCTCAAGACGTAGAAAGCAGGCGTGAAAATGAGGTTGTAGTGAGGTTAAATATAAAAAATTTGAAATGCTAAAACAAGCTTTGACGGCAGGCAAGAAACGCAGCAAGTATGAAACCTTAGGGCAGATTGTTAAAAAGAGACTTAAAACAATTATTTTGTTATTTCACTGACTTCATGATATGTTACAAGTTTCATTCATGTGTTACTTTGTAAATACCCTCACAATATGCATGTACAAAACATGCCATGCATGGCGTATTATTAAGTGAATCAGTGAAACTGTCATTGGCTGTGTTTTCACTAGGGCGACTAACTAGCTGAACATTCTTTCTAAGATTTGTTTACAAACCGACTTTTATTAGTTAAACGTGACAACTGTTTTCACTGTGAAATTTAACCGGCAATCTAAGCCACTAACTCTCAGAGGATTCAAATAGCAAAAGCGCGCCATAATAAAAAATGAAAGGGGACGAAGTGCTTGAATGTAATGACTTCTCTTGTGATTATTTTCGCTGTATTTTTGCGAAGGAGAAGGAGTTTTTTTCAGCAAATGAGGCTTATGTCCTTACAAATTAGGAAGATGCGACGAAATCTTTTAATTCTGTCAATCCAACAAC